TTTCGATGCAGATTTCCTCTTGGCTGAACAATTATGAGCGCTTTGGCACGGCAACTCGTTCGCACACCCGCGCTCTTTGCACGATTGTCACACAGGTCAGTCATCTGAGCCACACAGGCGTGCTTGATTTTGTGCCTGGAAGATGGCGTCCCCTCTGAATGATATGATCCATTCACCTCTTCGCCGCTTTCGTCTTTCGTCTTTTGATTGCTGCAGCCAACCTTCCACCGCCGTCTCGGCCGTCGCTGCTGTTCGCGCGTATTCCACGGTCCCCGTGCCTTCGCCCCCAGGGACTGAGAAGCCCGTTTCGCCCAAAGTCGCTGCGCTCGCAGACTCGATCGTTGGTCTCTCTCTGCTCGAATCTGCAGAGCTCGCTGGCCTGCTGAAGGTGAGTATTGCTTATCTGGGCCTATGAGGTTGAGCAAGAGATTTGGTTTGAGTGAAATGGGTGGGCTGGTTTGTGTAGTAACGTTTTGTTTTGTTTTGTTCCTTTTTCTTTTTTTCTTTCTTCTCCCTTCTCAGACTCGCCTGAACATTAAGGACGCGCCAGTGTTTGCCGCTTCCGCCGCCCCAGCAGCTGCCGCTGTATGATTCTCAAATGCCGCTGCCACGCTGTGTTTGCATCGCTGACCTTGTTCATTGTGTCGTGTTGGTGGTGTTTGCTGTTGTTATTAGGCTCCCGCTGCTGCCGCCGCTGCTCCTGCTGCTGCCGCTGCTGCCGCTCCTGCTGCTGCCGCCGCTGCCGAAAAGAAGGAGTTCTCCGTCAAGCTGGCTGCTTTCGACGAGAAGAAGAAGGTCAGCATCATCAAGGAAGTCAAGAACTTTATGCCTGCAATGAACTTGGTCCAGGTAAGCTCCCTTTGTTTTGTTGGAAATGCTGCGATTTTCAACTTGATGCACAATCCATCCATTTGCATGTCTCCCAATCTCCTTGGTGACGTCACGCGGGAGGCATTTTTTTTTTCTGCAACTTCAACCAACCTTCTCACCTCTGCTGTTTTGTTTTGCGCTGAGCAGGCCAAGAAGTTTGTCGAGTCCGCCCCACAAATGATCAAGGAGAACGCCACCAAGGAGGAGGCCGAGAAGATGAAGAAGGTTCTCGAGGAGGCCGGCGCCACCGTTGTTGTTGAATAAAAAAAAAAAAAAAAGTACAATAAAACTGTAAAACCAAGTTTTTTCCTTCTTTCCTTTTTTCTTGTGTGTGTTTCTTCTGTTTCCCTCTACACTTGCTTCAATCTCATTGTCAAATTGCATCATCATCATCATCATCATCATCATCATCATCATCATCAGCATCATCCGACTTCGACTCCAGGTTCCATTTCCCTTTTGTCCTCTTCTTTCAGTCATACAAAACGAGGCTCGCAAAATGACAGCGTCATCGTCGCCAATGGCAATTTCCCGCTCCTCGTCCCGTTCTTTCATTGCGCGCGTGGCGGTGGTTGCCGCTCTGCTCGCCGTCGTCGCGACTGTCGCGCCCATTGCAAGCGGCGCTCCCAACGCAGCCATGCCGCTGCTCCGCGCGCAGCACCAGCGCTCGACGGCCCTGGTCGCCGCTGCAAAGCCACTTGCACGCTTTGCGGGGTTTTTCAGCGAGCACCGCAATAAGAATGGTGTCGCACTCGCGCTTGCCGCCGACAGCCAGCAGCGGAGCATGCAGCAGCCCAATGCCAATGCCAATGCCAACGCTATTGCGGGTGCGGGTGCGGTGCGACGCGCGGGCCTCCCGCCAATTCCCGACGCGAGCCCAGAGTGCATCATGGCCATCACCAGCTTTAGCTTCCAGCCCAACGGCCAGGTCTGCATTGCGACCCTGGTGAGCTTCTCCAGCACCGTCAACATGACCGAGGTCATCGACGTGCTCGCGTCGGACTGCGCCCAAAACCCAATGGCCTGCAGCACCATTACAACCAACTTCCTCGCCGGATTTATGCCCTTGCTCGAGCCGCTCTGCGTGAACAACTGCATCCCGCCAATGTACGACATCATTGCCAAGTGCGCCACCAACGAGCCCATGGAAGTCCGCGAGGAAATTGCCATGGGCATGGAAATGCTCTCGCTGAGTTGCGCCGGGAACAGCAAGGGCTCCTGCCTCGTCCAGGTCTTGCAAACCCTGTTTGCTCTGATTGCCGACCCGGGTCTGATCTCGCAGCTC